AAAAAAATAGGCACCAGGAAACATGAAACTGTCCTGTTAGGTGTGGATATAATGGAGGTTAAGTGGAAAGGACCAAGAAGGGTGAAATATGGTGATGTACTTTATACTTGTATAAAAATAGAACAGTGAAGCCTGTTGAAATTGTTGTAAGTAGGGGGTCATGGAGATGGGGGAAAATGATGGTGGAGGTGCATTTAACAAAAGTACACTGTAAGCATATATGGAAATGTCATAGAATACCCCCGTAGCCTGTACAACTAATATATGCTACTAAAAATGTTAAATAAAATAAAGCAAAAAAGAAATTGATAAAACACCTGAAAGTTTTCAAAATAATGATTGTTCTTTAAACAATAATAAGTAGAAGAGAAAAACAGTTGGACAATTCAGTGAATTTAGGGGTGGCAAGTTGTTGCTGAAAGAGAAATTCAGTCAAAAAGATCATTAAAGAGAACCAAAAAGAAATCTTGCATTTGAAGAAATCTATAAGCAAAATAAAAAATGGAGTTGAGAACCTCAATAAAAGACAAAGCAGAATAAAGAATTTCGTTGAACATTCTCCAGGACAGAACATATATTAGGCCACAAAAGAAGTCTCAGAAATTTCAGAAAAGCATTCCAATAATGTTTTCCAGGAAAATATTGCTTTGCTGCTGGATTATGTCAAAAGTTTAAAGAACTAACACTAGTTTATCTCAAATTATTCCAAAAAATTAACAAAACTTTGTAAAGCTCAAGCTATAAAGACAGCATCATTTATATCAGAATTAGACAAAGAAAAATGATAGACCAATACATCTGATGAATATAGATGCAAACATTCTCAATAAAATACTGCAAATTGCATCTAAGAGTACATGAGAAAGTTTGTATACCAGTATGAAGTAGGAGGTATCCTGTAAGTATGATGATTCATATTCACAAATCAATAACTCTAATATAACACATGAACAGAATGAAGTACAAAACCATACATTCATCTCACTCAAAATAGTCCAACATCCCCTTCATAGATAAGAACTTGGAGCAAATTAGGTATAGATGAAAGCACCTCAGTATAGAAGGGCTATATAATGACAACCCACAGTCAAACATCATATTGATGAGTTTAAGCTGAAAAGCCATATTTTTTCTTCTAAGATCTGGAGGAAAAAAACAAAGCTGACACTTTCAACACTCATGTCAATATAATATTATAAATCTTCAAGATAGAAGAACATTCAAAATTGGAAAAGAAAGTGTTAAATTAACCCATTGCCATTGACGTGAAAATTCATGTATATAAAAACCTAATGTGTAAAATCAGTCTTAAACACTCTTGCTGACAGGCAAGTAGTGGTGCCTCACTGGAACATTTAAACCACAAAGACAAAAACCCAGAAGCTTGCAGCTGGAGTTCAGAAGGAACTGCAAAACAGAGCAAACAAGAAGTAATGACTCCCTTGCCTCCCCCTTTGTCTTGCTAGTAAAAGGAAGGGTTGTACTCAAATTAGGAATGTAAAAGCTGCCTTCCAATGATCATGCTGCCTTGATGTAGTCAAAACCTGATTATGTATAAAAGTAATATCCTTACTGTTATTGGGGCTTAGACTTTGAGAGTTATCCCTCTGAGCCATGGTGCCACCAATGACATGCTGCTTCCAGATCTTGGTGTCACGGCCTCTTTGTTCCTCTACATTTCTGGTGCATTGGCCAGGAAGCTGGGAATCGGAGATGGTGGTCTTTCATCTCCCTTGTTCCTTGGGGATCTGCTGAGGACACCACAGGACCAGTCATGCCCTCAGAGACCAATGGGTAATTTTTCCTGTTGAAGGGGGCCTCTCCCAGTATAAACATCCTGCACCCCTGGGCAACAACAGAATCTGAGGAGGTGTAGGAACCAATCTGGAACACAGCCCATCAGACTGGTAAGAACATGGTTTCCAGTGGTACTATCTGCCCCTAAGTGGCAGAAGGGGAGCCTGATCACCTCCCAGAGTTGAGTTGTCTAGTAGTTTCCAGTGGATGAAAGGAAACTGCAACTTTTGAGAAACTCTTAAAACAACCCTGGGTAGAGGGCTGATGCAGATAAAAGTGTGTAAAAATACTGTGCTGTGCAAGAGTGCATAAAAGTGTGAGCCTGAGATGCAGCCCTGCTGTGAAGGGAGACCGGAGTCCCAATCTGTATGTCCAAGGTGAACTTATATGGTTCAGGGTGAACCCTAACAGGGCCTCCAGTCTGGGGCTTATACGGACTCACAGAGGCCAAGAGATGCCTAAATCCCAAAGTGGGGAGAGGCCAGAGAAGGATGAAGCAAGTGACATTAATTTGTCTATCCCTTGTGTGTCAGAGAAAGGGACCCCTTACCTTTCTTCCAAAACCCCAACCCATCTGGGTCTATCTTGATGTCTGGTAAAGGGTAGAAAGTGGGTGGACAAAAAAACAAGTGTACCCCCTTAAAATGCATGTTAAAAACTTTAAAAAGGGAATTACTGATGACTTTGGTATCAAACTTACTCCTCAAAAACTACAACCTTTTGTGAGATTTACTGGCCCAGTTTTGAGGTAGGATGGCTGTCCAAAGGGTCATTTGACCCAGAGATTATCCAGTATGTTTATTTGGTGGTTACAGGAAAATCAGAGCACCCAGATCTGTTCCCATACATAAGTATTTGGTGAGATCTTGTCAGAAACAACCCCTTGGGGCTTAAGGCTTGTGCAGAGCAACAATCCAAGAATATGGTGACAAGGCTTATGGACACAAGAACCATATATCCAAAGAAACCCACCAGGTTACCCATGAGTTCCTGTACCTCCAAGACTTCCTTGTCCCTTTGTTAGTGCGAGATCTCCTATCAAAATTTCAACCTCAACACCTGCACACCCATGTTTATTGCAGCTCTATTCACAACAGCTAAGTTATGGAAACAGCCAAGATGCTGCAACACTGACAAACGGATTAAGAAAATGTGGTATCTATACACAATGGAATTTTATGCAGCCATGAAGAAGAATGAAATGTTATCATTCACTGGTAAATGGATGGAACTGGAGAACATCATTCTGAGTGAGGTTAGCCTGACCCAAAAGACCAAAAATAGTATGTTCTCCTTCATATGTGGACATTAGATCAAGGGAGAACACAACAATGGGATTGGACTTTGAGCACATGATAAAAGTGAGAGCACACAAGGGAGAGGTGAGGATAGGTAAGACACCTAAAAAATTAGCTAACATTTGTTTCACTTAATGCAGAGAAACTAAAGCAGATACCTTAAAAGAAACAGAGGCCAATAGGAAAAGGGGACCAGGAACTAGAGAAAAGGTTAGATAAAAAAGAAATAACCTAGAAGGTAACACACACGCACAGGAAATTAATGTGAGTCAACTCCCTGTATAGCTATCCTTATCTCAACCAGCAAAAACCTTTGTTCCTTCCTATTATTGCTTATACTCTCTCTACAACAAAATTAAAAATAAGGGCAAAATAGTTTCTGCTGGGTATTGAGGGGGTGGGGGGGAGAGGGAAGGGGCAGAGTGGGTGGTAAGAGAGGGGGTGGGGGCAGGGGGGAGAAATGACCCAAGCCTTGTATACACATGTGAATAATAAAATAATAAAAAAAACAAAATTTCAACCTCAAATCACCTTTACTCCTCATGGTGAAGCAACTCTCTCCTTTGGATGGCCGATTGTAAAGGTCCTAGCTCTAACTGCTTCAAAATCAGAAGAGTGGTGGTTGTTTGTGCCACAGGAGCCACTCAAACCATTAGAGCTGCCTTTCCCTGATGTTCTGGGAGTATGGGCTGAAGAAAATCCCCTAGGAATTGCCAGACATATGCTGCCTGCAGTTGTGGAACTCTGGCTGGGGGCAACTCTGAGCAGACAGCAGCAATACCCACTCCCTCACCATGCACAATTGGGCATTCAAAAGCACCTAGATTGGGTGTTAAAGTATGGCATACTCAAGGCCTGCCAGTCCCATGGAACACGCAACTCTTACCAGTCAGAAAGCCTGGGACAGATGACTACTGGCCTGTTCAAGACTTGAGGATAATGGTGCCTAATCCATACACTCTTCTCAGCCTTATCCCAGTGGATGCAACTGTCTTCACCTGCTTGGACCTCCAGGATGCCTTCTTCTGCATCAGACTGGCCCTCAGAGCCAACAACTTTTTGCCTTTCAATGGGATGATCCAAAAGATGGAAAAGGGCAACATTCCACTGGATCAGACTGCCTCAAGGTTTCAAAAACTCTCCGACGGTCTTTGGACAAGTGCTGGCCTCAAGCCTAAAGAGGTTTCCAGCTGGACAGACTGGATGCATAATCCTACAATATGTGGGTGACCTCCTATTGACTGGAAGTACTTCGGAAGACTGTGCCTAGGGAACATATTTGCTACTTAACATCTCTGGGAAGCTGGTTACAAGGTATCCAAGAAAAAAGCCCAAATCTGCCATCCTAAAGCCAATATCTTGGCTTCCACATCTCTCAAGGAACTTGGTATCTGGGGAATGAACAAAAACAAGCTGTGTGTTCGATCCCCATTCCCACTATCTGAAAGCAAATTTGAGAGTTCCTGGGAGCAGCAGGATTTTGCTGAATCTGGATCCCCAACTTTGCTGTCACAGAAGCCATGAAAAGGGGAGAAAGGGACCCACTGGAATGGGGAAGACTACAGGAAAAACCCTGCAAAGATCTCAAACAGGCTCTCTCTCAGGCTCAGGCACTAGGACTTCCAAATTTAAATGAACTGTTCTTCCTTTATGTGCATGAGAGAAATGGCACAGCAATCAGGGTGCTCACTCAGATGCTAGGGTCCTGGCATTAGCCAGTGGTCTATCTGTCTAAACAATTAGACTCTGTTGCCAAGGGATGGTCTCCCTGCCTGCAAGCACAGGCTGCAAGAGCACTGTTAGTGGCTGAGGCAGACAAGTTAACTCTGGGACAAAACCTGACAGTGTGAGTTCCTCATGCAGTGGTAACTCTCATGGAATATAAAGGACAATATTGGCTGACACATGCCCGCATCACCAAATACCAAGGCATGCTGTGTGAAAGCCCACACATACAATCGAGAAGGTGAAAACCTTGAATGCTGCCTCAATCTTTCCTGTGCATCTGGGAGACCAGACCACGACTGCATTGAAATTGTGAATGAGGCCTTCTCCAGCTGTCTGGACATAAGTGACCAACCACTTGATCACCCAGATGTGGAATACTTCACCAATGGGAGCAGTTTTGTTCATCAAGGAGAAAGGCTAGCAGGCTATGCAATGGTTAATTTCAATGCCATCCTCGAGACCAGAAAGTTACCCAAAGGAACCTCTGTTCAAAAGGCTGAACTCATGCCCATTACCCATGCCCTACAACTGGTAGCAGGATCCAGGCAAACATCTACACAGACTCTAAATTTGCCTTTACTACTCTGAATGTTCATGGAGCTTTGTACAAAAAAAAAGGACTCATAAATCCAGGAGGTAAAGACATTAAGTATGGCCAAGAAATACTTGAGTTATTGAAAACTGGGCCTCTAAGAAAGTAGTAGTAATACACTGCTGAGGCCTTCAGAAGGGAAACTCAATCACTGCCTGGGGAAACCAAAAGGCATATCAAGTGGCATGACAAATTAAAGTTAGCAGTGAATCAGCCTCCCCTGCACCTGTTCTGGAGACCACCCTCCTACCAACAACATTAAGAGATAGGAACCCTGAGTATTCCCAATATGAACAAAATTGGCTTCACACTGAGGCAGAAGTCCCAACAGTGGGTGGATGATAAGCTGCTGCCTGAAATAGGGCAGGTAGCAGTCCACAAATCTCACCTCCTGAGCCAGTGAGCAACATTCAAGTCAAACAGCACTGCAAAATTGAAAAAGTCAGCAACCATCACAACACACTGACAGCAGGGGCCCCAGAGAAGGGGGGCTAGTCAAGAAATGAGCCCCCAGTAAACAAACACTGTGAAAACCCAATTCCAAAGCAGGATGGCTGGTGGGCTACAGAGCTAAATATGGAACCTGAGGACAACATACAAACAAACTGCCACACCTCACTGAGGGAAGAACTGACTAAGAAACTGCCTCTGAAACACAGAAGAGAAACCTAGCAAGACTAAGACAGAGCCTATGCTTGAATACCAACACCAAGACTGGATGCTGAAGGAGTAACAGCAGAACTACTAAGACTGAAATTCTATTGTTCCTGAACCTGGGGTTTTTTTGTGTGTGTTTGTTTGTCTTGTTTGTGTTTGTTTGTTCATCTCTCCCTGTTGATTTATTTGGTTTATTATTATGATGATGATTTGTTTTGTTTTGTTTTGTTAGTTTTACTATTGTCAGTAAGTCAATACTAAATTATACCCAGACCAGAGACAGAAATAGCATATATACACTAAGTTAAAAATCCAGTACACCCACAAAACAAAATTAAACCAAGGGAAAGAAAACAAGTGACTGAAACCACCAATAGCCTATCAAGAACATAGTTACACAGTACCAGAGGGAGAAATGGGAAGATGAGAAAGGGATGGAAACCATTCTCCCCCCAAAAATAATTTAATACAGGATTCAGAGGGAAATGAAGAAAACAGATACCCAGTTCCAGACTCCAATGAAACAAACAAATGATGCCAAGGACCCCAACAATACCCACAAGAACACTCTCAAAGAAGAAATCCTGCAAGTAATCACTGAGAATTTCATGGAGATGCTACTAGACATGGTTAACCAAAATGTACAAGAAGCACTCAAGAAATTCCAAGACAACAAAAATGAAGGATATGAGAAGACACAAAAACAAATAAATGAACTCATAGGAGCCCTAAATAAACACCAAAGTGAAACAGAGAGCACTATAAATAGAGAGATAAATGAATTAAAGGCAAAAGTTGACAATATTAAAGAGGAAGTGACCTATGATATGGAAAACCTCAGAAAAAAGAATGAAACAGAAATACAAACACAATGGAAGGCCACTCCGGCAGATTAGAACAAACAGAAAACAGAATCACAGAACTTGAAGATAAAATGGAAATTAAAGGAAAAACTGAACAGCTATTAGTCAAACAAATCAAGACATGTGAAAGGAATGTGCAAGAACTCACTAACACCATCAAAAGACCAAACCTGAGAACCATGGGCATTGAAGAAAAAGAGGTGCAAGCAAAAGGGATTCATAATATGGTCAACAAAATAATAACAAAAAATTTCCCAAACCTAGAGAAATCTATGCCCATTCATGTATTGGAAGCCTCCAGGACACAAAACAGACTTGACCAAAATAGAACTACCCCACCAGGTATTATCATTAAAATGACAAGCACAGAGTATAGAGAAAGAATATTGAAGGGTGTAAAAGAAAAAAAAATAACATACAAAGGTGACCTCATCAAAGTCACAGCAGATTTTTCAATGGAAACATTAAAAGCAAGAAGGGCATAGAGTGAGGTATTTCAGGCACTGAATGAAAATAATTTCAACCCTAGGATGCTCTACCCCGCAAAACTACCAGGATCTCAGAGGTTTTGACCCAAAAAGGCTCAGGAAAGGCATGAACAGTCAAGACACAAATTGAGAGGACCAGAAGGCTGATGGCCAACTGGCAAATTTTTAATTTTTGTATTAGGCTTATAAGCAGTACAAGCAGGAAGTTATTAATGCAAGAAGAATTTCTATGCCCGGGAAACAATGCCCTCTACCTGAAAAACAATGTCCTCACTCCAAAACTCCCTGATTTCATAAATGAAACTCGGACCCTCCTAGCTTCACCCCTTGTGCCTGGTTACTAAGGGCATACTGCCCTGTTCCTAACCTTTCATAAACAAATACCTTCAGGTTAATGTTTCTTTACTCCAGACAAAGGGAGTCACTCCATGTTCCCTCAAAACCCCAGTGAGAGACATGGTGCACTTGCAGTCCCTGACCTTCTCAGGATCCTGCTAAACCACAAAAACCTTGTCAGATTGTGGCTCATGGCTCCCAACACAAAACTATCACTCAAAATAGATGGAGCAATAAAAGTCTTCCATGATAAGCAGAAACTATAACAATATATGACTACCAAGTCACCACTACAAAAGATTCTCAAGGAATTCTGCACACGGAATATGAAAGCAAACAAAACCATGAGAGGATAGGCATCACCAAACAACAGAAGAAAAGACAAGGAATCAGAGACTAGCATTGATTCAGCTGCACACAATCAAACCACTAAACAATAAAACAATTAAATGACAGGAATCACCACATATTTATCAAAATTAACACTGAATGTTCACAGACTTAACTCCCCCATCAAAAGACACCAACTGGCAAACTGGATTAAAAAGGAAGATCCAACAATCTATTGTTTACAGGAGATCCATGTCATTGACAGAAACAAGAACTGGCTTAGGGTGAAAGACTGGAAGATTTACCAAACCAATGGCCCACAAAAACCAGGCAGGAGTAACAATACTTTTATCAGAGAAAGTAGACTTCAAGCTTACATTGATCAAACAAGATAAAGAAAGACACTCCATACTAATAAAAAGGGGAAATATACCAAAAGGAAATAACAATTATCAACCTATATGCACCCAATCTCAGTGCACCCAAGTTCATCAAACATACTCTGAAGGACCTAAAAACATATATAGACACTAACACTGTGGTAGTGGGAGACTTTAATACCACCTATCACCAATAGAAAGGTCATCCAAACAAAAAATCAATGAGGAAATTCTAGAACTAAATAACACATACATCAAGTGGACCTAACTGGTGTCTATAGAATATTTCATCCAACTTCTGCACAATATACATTCTTCTCAACAGCGCATGGAACCTTCTCCAAAATTGATCATATCCAAGGGCACAAAGCAAGCCTCAGCAAATATAAGAAAATGGAAATAATCCCATGCATTCTATCTGATCACAATGCATTAAAACTAGAACTCAACAACAAAAACAAGAGTAAAAACATGCAAACAGTTGGAAGATGAATAACACATTGCTCAATGATCAATGAATCATTGATGAAATAAAAGGAAATTAAATTGACAGACCCCAGGCAATACTGACTGAAATGAGGAGAGAAAAAACCCAAATCAGTAAAATCAGAAATGCAAAAGGGAAGATAAGAACAAACACCATGGAAATCCAGGAATCATCAGAGACTACTTTGAGAACCTATATTCAAATAAATTTGAAAATCTTGAAGAAATGGACAGATATCTAGATACTTATGATCATCCAAAATTGAACCAAGAGGATATTAACCTCCTGAATAGATCTATAACACAAAATAAAATTGAAGCAACAATAGTCTCCCACAAAAGAAAAGTGCAGGACCTGATGGATTCTCTGCTGAATTCTATCAGACTTTTAAAGAAGAGCTAATACCAACCCTCCTTAAACTGTTCCATGAAACACACAGGATTCCACCTTACCTCTGTTAGAATAGCCATCATCAAAAACACCACCACAAACAGGTATTGGAGAGGATGTGGGGAAAAAGAAACCTTCATACTCTGCTGGTGGGAATGCAAGCTACTGCAACTACTCTGGAAAGCAATATGGAGGCTTCTTAAAAATCTAAACATAGGTCTGCCATATGATCCAGCAATCCCACTCCTAGGGATATAACCAAAGGAATGTGACACAGGTTACTCCAGAGGCACTTGCACAACCATGTTTATTGCAGCACTATTCACAATACCCAAGTTATGGAAACAGCCAAGATGCCCCACTACTGAGGAATGGATTAAGAAAATGTGGTATTTATGTACAATGGAATTTTACTCAGACATGAAGAAGAATGAAATTTTGTCAGTTGCAAGTAAATGGATGGAACTGGAGAACATCATTCTGAGTGAGCTTAGCCAGGTTCAGAAGACCAAAAATTGTATTTTTCCCTCATATGCAGACTTTACATCTAGGGCAAATACAAGTATGTTGCAGTACTTGGGTCACACGCTAAGGAGAACACATATGGGAGGAATGGAAATAGGCAGGAAACACAAAACTTGAAAGTGTTTGATGTCGCACTGCAGAGGTGCTAATACAGTAACCTTAAAATGACAGAGGTCAGTAGGGGAAGATGACCAGGAAGTAGTGAAGAGGTCAGATTGAGGTGAATCAATTCAGGTTTTAATACACGTGTGCATGGAAGCAATGCTAGGAATCTCTCTTTATAGGTATCCTTATCTCAGCTCGCAAAAATACTATGTCTTTCTTATTATTGCTTTTGTCTACTCTTAACAAAATTGGAGAAAAGGGTAGAACAGGTTCTGCCTGGAAGCAATGGAGGTGGGAGGGAGAAGGAGGGGGCCGGGGGCAGAGAGGAGAAATGGCCCAAACTATGTATGTACATATGAATAAATGAATATAAAAGGA